AACAGAATCAGAGTTCCTTGTATCTGTAACCAATTTTGGTACTCTGGGAAACTTCTAGATTTACTGCAATGGACAAATTTATGACTCCGTTTCACTTTTTGCAAGTTCTTTAGGACTCTCTTTGCTATCTTCCCTAAGTTTTTCCCTTGTCAGCTCTTTGCACTGAAATGCAAACTGCAGCAGAAAGCTGGACTCGCATCCTGGGGCTAGTTTTGTATATTCTTAGGTATTAGACTCACGTGTGTCCAATGTGATAATACTTCTTACATCACGCTGTTGCCAACCCGCTTAGCACAACATCAGCACTGTTCTGTCCGCTGGTAAGTCTGTGGTTGTAGAGTAACCATTAATACTTCGGGGCACAAACTACGAATCAATTTGGCCTTGACAGCCTCTCTTGCTAAGAACATTCACCTCTGTAGCAGTTCTTTTCCCTTCTGTGCTTCCTCACAGTTTTCTACTTCTTTTTGTCATTTCCTTTAATCACAGAGGCTGTAGAAATAAATTTGTTACCCCAAGAGTGATAATGAGTAATAAAAGAGAAAAAATACTGTTTGGAGGTGTTTGCTAAATAACGAGATAGGAGAGGAAAGGGTACTTTTAGTCCAGTAAGTCTGGAAAAGAGCAAAAGTAATTGAAATTATTAGTAAAACTAATTTAAAAACTGACAACTGTAAAAATCTCCCTCTGAATACATTTTGCCCTCTTTACTGCCAGTCTTTTGGCAAATGTCACCATAGTCTCAGGTCTTTTGAAATTATTGGATTTGATCCTTTCATGCAGAGATCCTTGTCATTTTTTGAGAGCAATCTCAAATCCCTAGTTTCATGTAAAGGTAATTTCCCAGTGTTTCAGTCAGGAAGGTCTTTATTCAAGGAAATCAATAATCTTCTATTTTTATCATCTTCATTCATCACAAAACCATCTACTTTCAGTCTGTCATCCTGCTGATATGATGGGAACCACAAGCAGCCGTAACAATGTGAGGGAACCCACACTTAGCTGGAGACATTTCAGGAAGCCTGCAGGCTCCTGATATGTCATTCTCCAGCTACCCAAAAACCCATTGGACCAGCTGAAAACAAATGGAGATCGAATTATCAGATCTTGGCCCTCCACAATGTCTGTTTCCTATACTGGCTATATTGCCAATGTCATTCGTCTATTGAACAAGATCCTTGTTATTTTTATGCAGAACAAAAATAATGTTGTCATGTCCAAAGGCTACATTTTCTCTTTTGCAAACACTCTTTTTCATCCCTTGCATTTTTTGAAAATCTTTTGTCTACATTCTTTTGTGGTCTGAGGCTCCTGTATCTCTGCCAAACACTGATACATTCATCGCGGGCTTCAGCTGTGTTGCAGAACCTGAATAGACATTGAGGCTACATGGGCGACTTCAATTAAGCAGTTCTATAGAGCTGATATTTTTTGTTGAGAAACAGTGTCTTTTTGCAGGGCCAAACAAAGCAGCAATTCCAGGGATGCAAATCAGAACAAAATACTTAAAAAATAATAACTGCCAAGCCAACTAATTGTGAGGGCTCAGCAGAGAATACAAAGCCCCATTTAGCCAGTTGCTTCCTTCGTCTGCTCTACCGTTGTGAAATCCCAAGTATGTACATTACAGCAAAGATGCATGTGGCGAGGCAGAGTCTCGGTGAGAAATTTCCAGATTCTAACAGCTACATTACAGACTTCCTGAGACAATAAGATTTGTTTTCTTGGAGAAGTATAGCTATGAAAATATACAAAGGCTTTTTATTCCTACGCACATGTACACAGCAGAGATTCTCACTGAAGTACAAGAATGCAATTTTTTTCTTTCATCCTGCTTGTAAGACACAAGTATATTGTATTTCACACAGGGCTTCAGAGCGGCATATGCCACATGCTGATGTGTTTTTCTCAACTGTGTGAGAAGGGAGCAAGTGCTCTTCCCTTTTTTTTCTTTAACTTTTGGAACTTTATTTACTTTTTCTCCCCCTTTTTCTTCCTTTTTGATAATTTCTGTTCGCTGAGAAGTAAAAGAGGAGCTTTTCTCTTTGAATTTCTGAAGAGAATTTCCTGCATGGCTTTCATTTTTGCTATACTTAACAATATCAGATCCAGTCACACACACACCCTCCACCACCTTTTTTTCCTTCTTCCCCTGGGTGTGGTAATCCAGCAGAACTCTTTTTTTGTGTTCCAATCTGAGGCAAATTATCACAAATTACTCAGTCTGGCCTAGGCTATTTTGAGATCAGCCAGCAACTCTGGCTGTTTGGATTATTTTGACAACTGGCTTTGCTGCTTCTCTAAAGCCCCAAAAGCACAGCGCTCTCCACCTAGAAACTGCTTGCCCAGGTACAGGGCTGTGTCAGGATGTGTCACTGGGCCTGCTAAGCTGCAGCTGCCGCTGGTGCTCAGGAGCACTACGTCAGCACCATGTATGTACCAAGCTTGTAATAATTACCTGTAAGAAATGGAGATTTAGCCATCCACCCTCTGCCTCTGTGCCCCTACAGTCCTTGCATACTAGCAGATTTTGCTGTTGAGAGAAATTAAGAGGATGAGAATATACCAGCCTGCACATTCCTGTATGTTACCCTACCTGCACTAGTTCCACAGGCATTTGAAGCCCACACCACCCAGAAAAAAAAACCTTCTAAGCTTGAATGCCTGTGGCGTTTGCACACAGCAGAGTACCTGTGGACAACATATCCCGAAGAGCTCTACGTTCTGGTAAGCAGCCTCCAGCTGGAGGTGTTATTGTGTGGCTTTTGCAAGAAAGGGTTTGGAAATCTGATTCAAGTATTTCATGCAATGCTGCTTTGCATTTTAATTTTGTTTAAACACTGCAATTTTTGTTTGTTTCAAGTAGCACTGCTTGGAAACTGTTTCCAATAGTTTCCAGTAGTATGCTGGTTATTGCTACCTGAATCTTGTATCCACTTCAGAATTGTATCAGTTTGACCTCTTGCTTTCTAGTGAAATCAATCCTCCATCAGTTCAAGGCACCTCTTGAACACTTCTTTTAGCTCTGAAACTTGGTCCCTGTCCCAGCTGCATTTCTTGCTGGCAGAGCCTGGTATATGGCCACGCTGGTACTTCAGAGACTTCATCACATTGTATAACCTAGCTATTGTGCTTTCCTTTGCACATAGGGCTTTCTCTGGGTACTTTTAAGTGCATCTCAGCCATATTGAGAATGTGGAGGATTGCTTTTATTACATTTGTTATCCGTTTTTCCATGGTGTCCATAATTACCTCCTGTATAATTTTAGGGCCCCAACTGTTACCACGTTTCTGTCTGGAGCTCCATCTCCAGAAACCTTACTTTGGCTGCATGATGCAGAGCTGGCAAAACTTGGGCTTTGATACAGTCTTGGTGAACTAAGCTAACTCTGTGACTCTGTGATCTCTAACAAACTCTTGATGATTGTCAACATTAAATACCTAGGATCCTTTCATATTCTGTTTTTTTTTTTTTTTTTTTTTTTTTTTTTTGGTATTTTGGGAAATGTTTCCTTAGTCACAGCTGGGATGATTCTGTTCTGCATATTTCTCTTAGACCCAAGATCTCTCCAAATGTATTTTTCACTTCTATATGCTTGGAAGTTTAATTAAACTTTCCAGATTCTTCAAATTTATATAATGTTCTATCATATACATGTATTCCTGATTTTTTTTCCTTCCTTGGTAATTTTCATGATAGTAAGCTTCCTTTCTTTCTCCCTCCCATCACCCCAGAAATAAACCACATAGTAATAAAAATAAATATTCAGGAAGCAGAAAATGGATGGTTCTTGTCACGCTGTGGTTTGCGGTGTTTAGGAGCTGAATACAGCTGCTGCATTTGGGCTCCATTGCGAAGAAATAGAATACAAACAACACATCCCATTTGTTCCATGTGGGAGAATTTTTGTCTTACACACACATACCATCAACTTTTCTCTCGTGTTGTTCCTCATACTTTTTGTGTTTGAACTTCTTTTTTTTTGTTTATTATGTTGTTATTGTTGCAGGTGAGGCTGCGTGGCACACCCCTGTAGAGTATCTGCAGCAGAAGCACCCCACTGGGGAAATGCCTATCCAGTTTAGATCAAGTACAAGGTGTTGATCTGGCGCTGGAATTTGTGAGGTGAGATCTTTTGGCTAACATGCAATCCACCCATGCAGAAGTCATCTGAAGCATGAAGCTTTTGAGAACACATACCTGTAGTGGCAGGTTTAACTTGTTTGTAATATAGTCCTACTGTACATTCAGTTTTATGCCTGGCTTTACGTGCCTTTATAGCATAAAGCCTTGTCCTCCTGATGTATAACTATTAAGCCCCTTGAACACTACGCTTTTAAAGAGGAAAACCAAAACAGAACAACTGGTTGTAAAGTCAGGCACAGAAACACAAGGAAATGCGTAGCCATTCACTTGTATTTACGTATTGTGATACATTTTTTTCTTCCTGCGTGGTACCTTTTTCAGCAGAGTAGATGGTGCTTAGTGAGTCACCACAGATATTGCTCAACATTAGGATTACTCAGTGCTTTGTTGTATCTTCCTGGCCTAATTTGTGGTCACATACTTTATTTAGCGTCCACTTTTCACCTGCTTTGAAGCTGAATTTTATTTCCTTGTGCGCTTTCTTTCAGTAATGCCCAGTGTGGACTCACCTGTGCAAATATTTATGACTTGGTTTTACAATAACATTACACAAAGAAGCAATCTTATTGCAATTCTAGTTATGGGCAAGTGAGGCCCAGGAAAGGAGGAAAAAAAAAAGGGGGGCAAAAAAACCTTAGACCACGGCTTGCGTTTAAAGCGCCCAACTTGAAGCATAGCCAGACTGTGCAGATCTCTTCTGTGCTTCAGGTGTGTACCTACGGGTTGCAAGTGCATCCCTGAGATGGCTTATCTGGAAGTAGTTTGAAGGCCAAGCCAAACCCCACAGCCTGCAAGCCTCGAGGTAGGGCTGGCCATCACCTGAGGGTCTCCCCTCGCCCAGGGAGCCCCCAGGCTGCGGGCGGGCTGCATGTCTGCCCCCCCCCCAGCCCTGCCGCCACGAAGCCTGCCCCTCAGCGAGCCTCCCCGGCCCCCAGCCGGCCCCTCCTCGCCGTCAGCGGCCCTTTATCGCCTCGTTCAACTTTTCTCTTTCTCCAAGGGGCGGCCGAGGTGGCGGTGCCCCCGGCGGCGGCCGCCAGGTACCTCCCCCCGCCGCCTCCTCCGCCCCCTTCGGCGGCGCTGCCAGGCGGCCGCGGGGCTTCCTGCTGACGGCGGCCAGCCGCGGATGGGCAGGACGGGCGGCCGGCCTCCGCTGCCCTTCTCCTCTTCCTCCTCTTCTTCCTCCTCCTCCTCCTCGGCTCCCCCCCCCAGCAGCGCGGGGCAGGCCCGGGCGGCGCTGAGGGGAGGGCGCCGGCCTCAGCCGCCGCCCCCCAGCCATGGCAGTCCCCGCTGCTCGCTGAGCGCCGCCGCCCGCGGGCCCCTCGCCCATGGCCGAAGCCTGGAGGCTGGAGGAGGACGAGGAGGAGCTGCGGGAGCTGGGCAGGAGGCACCGCAGGGGTGCCCTGGGCTCGGCGGCAGGTGAGGGGCCGGGGACGCGGGGCGGCGATGCTGCAGGTGCCCGTGGGGGGGGCGGGAGGGCGAAGGGCACCGTGAGGGGGCCCGGGGCCACCACAGGAGGACCAGGGGTCACCGTGTGGTCTGTGGAGCCCGTCCTGACCAGCATGGGCGTGTGGGGTGGGAAAGCTGGCACCAAGGACCCGGTGACCCCACAGCGCACCATGACTTGGGACCAGCCTGGTTGGTGGGACTGGGTTTTCTCTGTGGGGCTGGGTCACATCAGCAGCGCTGCTGGAGCATTTCATCCCAGTCAGTTGGGCTGGAGTTAATTCAGGGCAGGTGCACCTGTACAGCTGCCCAGCGTGAGCCGAAAGCGTGTTCTCGGAGAGTGGACAGGAAGCTGGCTCCGAAAGCCTGCTTCTCCAGGCTAGCGCTGAGGCAGGCATGCGTTGTACACCAGAGATGCATCCAGACGTCTCTACCAGGAAACATACATACACTTCTTACCAGGAAACTAAATACGTTACTGATGTTTCTTGTAAATGTCAAGATTGATGGAATATCTAGGTATAAAAGTTATATATAAAATTGCATATAATGGTTTCTGTGTAGGTAAGGACTGCAGGCCTTGGCAAACAGGAGGTGAGAGCTGTTGTGTACAGGAAGGCATGGAGACAGGAGCTTGGGAGCAAACAGGTTGATACAGCTTCATACATAGACTTGGAGGTTGCAGTAAGCTTTTGTTTGATAAAGTGACATCCAGTGGATCTTAGCAGCAGTTGAAGTAGTTTCATTAACTTGATTGTCATTAAATTGACAAGCAATGCTTATATCACATTCTCTATCTTTACAAAGTTGGTCAATGCAGCATTTTCCTCTTCTCTCGCTGTAAAAATCCTTCCAGAACAAACTGTTTTCTTAAAGTCTGTTTCCAGGGAAAATATCAGCTACACTGCATATTTAAAGTTTAATTCCAAATATTCTGGCAACTACTAATTATGATAAAACCATAATGCTCTAATCACTTTTACAAGTCATGTGGTTTTGTATCCATTTGAGCAACAGGAGTATTCTTTTGCAGATGAGAAAAACAGCAATTTGAGGGCTCCCAATGCAGAGCAGAGTTTGCAACACACAGGCCCTGTGGCTTCCCACAACCCTGGTTATGTCAGTGCATTCCTGGGCAGGTGCAGGATTAGCAGGAGCCAGCGTGGCTTGGCACGTGTGCAGGATTTCGCCTCATCGAGGGCAGGAGGGAAAACCAGTGTTGGTTCCCGTACCCTTTCCTCAGTAGCCAAACATGTGAGCTGCTAGTTCTGATACTTGTTTTTTAAAGCTGTTTCTTCTGGAGATATTTATTGGTGGAGAACATCTATTTGGTTCTATGTTCATGTATGTACGTATATAATCATTGCTTTCATGTTGTGAAGCAAAATGTGTTGTAAACTCTGGAAACCAACTCTGTTCCCAGAGTTTATCTTGGTTGAAATGCTACTAATCAGTAATAAAGGGCCCTTCTCTTCCTTTTATAAAACTTTTCGTTATTATGTCCTGACAAGCCCCCTCCAAAATGGGCCTGGCACTGTTTACCTTACTAGTGTAAAGTAGGTGTGGATGACTAGCATTCTGCTTTGGCTGTCTCTCCTTCCTTCCATCTGTTTGAAAGACTGCACAGTGGAAAGCAGGGCACAAACACTCCCAGAGTGTTTTTTAAGTCATCCATGAAGCATATCATTTCAAGTGGATGAGTGTGCTGCCCTTCCTTTATTTGATAATTCCCTTATACATTAATATCCAAGCCTGTTGAAAATAAGTGCATTTTTGTGTGTTATGTGCAGTTACACTGACAAAATGGTAACATACGTAAGTGTTAAATAACTTACTGGGTATATTTCCAAGTTTAAAAAAAGCGTCTTAGCCAGCTGCCAGTTGAAGCATTTTAGTTTAAGCTAATTGCGAATACGAGTATATTAAATTTCTGGTCTGTTCCGCTTATATACGTGGAAGTAAGGGCAGTTGCTCACCTTTGTCCCGCACATACAGGACTTGTGTTTGCAAAGCGAGAGGTAGTTGAAGGGTGAAAGTTCAGAAATGCTTCTGACTTAATAAACACTCAGGTATAATTAGCGCTGTTTTATTGAGGAACGAAAACACAGGACGTCACTGAACGAAGAAGCAGTATTTTTCCTGGGAGCTAGTCCTGGTTGCGCTACCACAGATACAAGAGGATGAAGCAGGTTAGGCTCATCTAACAGCTTGCTGCTTCGAGAAGGGTGATCCCTTCCTTGGACCTGCGCTTCTGCTCTTCCCGTGTGTCAGCTGTGCTGCTCGTCCGACCTGCTGGTGAGCAAAGTCACTGAAGCTGTGGCTGTGTGGCAGCCTGGGCTGATCTCCCTGCTGGCTGCTGGGGCCTCTCTTGGAGTTCTTGTGCTTACTAGGACCTGCACCAACCTGTTCTGGTGCACTGGCCCAGCAGGAAGCTATTTTTCTTGTTCTCTTTGGTGGATGCAATTCTGCTGATTCAGCTTGCTGGCAAAGTTTTCTACAGGTTCTGATGGTGTTGAAGCTGGCATAAAAAAGAGAGTGGGAACATGCAGCCGGAGGGAGGTAAGGCACTGTGCCAGCCAGGAGTTAGTTTGGCTTAGGTTGCCGTGAAACTGTAGGCTGAGCTGTTAAGAAATCTACTTGCCTGTTGTTTTGGTGTAATTTTTCTTTCCTTTTCTTTCTTTTTTTTTTTTTTTTTTCCATTGTGTCTAGATTTGTGTGTGTGTCTTATTGTTGTTGTCTGGTTCAATGAGCTTTAGAGGCCTGCTGAAGCAGTAGAAAAATGCCAGAACTGATGTTAAAAGCAGGGAATGGCAACTTGGAGATATGACCAGATGAGGTGGGAACAGAACTATCCTTGTCCGTGGCAGACATCTTAGGTAGCTTAACTATTTTGTTTGACTGCCTGTTTACCCCACCGTACGCCAGTGGGATGAGTTTTCTCTGAATTCAAGAAAGCTTTTTGATTAGCTTGTTCTGGGAAACTGGGAGAAGGTAACAAGTAGAGCAATTTGAGAATCTCCTAATGAAATGATTTTCCCTTTGAGAAAATGATGATTGATTTTTTTTTATATATATATATTATTTCTTTAAGTGGTAGGAAGGAAGAATAGGATATAATCTTTAAAAACTGGGAAGAATAAAATTAGCTACATAGGTTCATTAAACTGAATCTCCTAGCCACCTGCTGTGGGAAAGGAAGCCAGTCTTGCAGGAAACCTTTTATATAAGTAAGTAAAATAACATGATAGATTTCATCTTAAAATAACGTGATAGATTATACCCTCATGTTGCATATGCCTGCCATACAGGTTCTTACTCAGAGAAGTCATAGAGAACACTGGATTTTTACTGGATATTTTTCTTTTTAAATTTATGATTATAATCTTTTTGTTTAGCTTGTTTTTAATGAAGTGAATGATGAAAAAGAAAACAAAACAACCAACCTAAGATCGTCTTTTCTATATACTTGCATGCTCTGTCCAGTCTAACTTTGGACTTTAATCTGGTGTACTTTTCTGTTTCGGTGAGCTTTTTATTTTATGAGTACAGACTCAAATAAGGAAGCTTTATAGTGAGTAAGTGAGTATAGTAAATGTTAGTTGTGAAATGCTTTGGTTAATTGTGTGTCTAAGCACAGAAGGCTTGCCGCATTAGGAGTGAGAGAGAATCTCAGTATTCTGGTGTTACTGAAAGTGCACACGCAATTTTAAATACGCTTAATATCTATATTATTTCACTTTGAATTCTGGTCAGTGTTCCTAGAGAAAGAATTATTGTTATGGATGTAGCAGATGTTTCCTTACTTTAAATTAAAAAAAGAAAGCCAGATATAGAAGTCAGTAACAAAATTTGAGTTCATAATGAAGAGCTCTTGTGATTTATACTATGTGTGTATTTAAAAGTATAGATGGTCATTAATACAAGGAAAGGCTCTGATTTAATTCAATATTGCTCGTTTTTATCATAAATGCTTGTCTGTAGCTTGTTCCTATGTAGTGGCTGTGAATTTTGCACACAACTTTTTCTATGCTGACATCTCTGGTTGTGTTTTGTATCTGCTTCTCTACAGTATTTCAAGTGTTTTCTGGAACTTCTTCAGCTCTAGTGGGCAATTTTAGATTATGGATGCAATTATCAATTTTTGGTTGGTTGATTGACTGAATGCTTTGTTTTTTAGCCAAAACAAGGCCTAGTTCACAGTTGGGTCAACACTTTGCACTCCCACATCAAACTGGTGCTGACTTGTTTTCGAAGTTGAGAACCATGAGCTGTATCCAGTCTAACACATTAAGGTTAAATATCTCCCTGCTCAACATGCTGAGAAATTACTGGGGTACGTTTGCGTAGTATGGCTGATGAAACTTAGTGAATGGTAATTTGCAGGCATCGTGGATTTTTTTCAGATAAGAATTTGATACAAGAATGCGCAGCAGTTGTTCCGAAGTTAATGCAAAATGTGTGTTTGGCCTTGAGAACAAAAGAATAAGGTGATGTGAGATTCTTCATGAAATTCAGCATTGATGAAGTGCTGAACTCCTTTAGGGGTCACTAGATCGTGACATAAACAGCTTGAACATAGCAGCTCCCAGGGGGTGCCTGTGACCCTGGGTAGTGAGAAAATGAGATGAGGAAAAAGGTGGCTGAAAGAGTTAGGTGCTGTGTTCCTATAATCTTAAATAAACCTTATATTTAAGACGTGGAAAGCTCTTCTTCTTCCAGAATAGAAATCAGCATTGTTCAACTGGGAACTTCATCATCTGCGCGTCTCTGTCTTTCAGCTCTGATCTGGAAATTGTTCTGCTCATCTGTGGCAAAAGTAATCATTTATCATCTGTTATTCGTAATGGTATATGTTAACCATTATTCGTCTGTTAGGAAGAAAGATAAACATGACAAAACAGATCACCTGTCTTGAATAAATGCATAAGGTATAGTTATGATCTGCCATGTCCATGTGCAAACAAGAAGCACTC